TATTTTCTACAACCACACCCACACCCTTATTTCTTTAAAATATCTGGTGCAGACGAATGATTGTAACGTCATTCACCCTATCAACACATGGGTTGACTTAAAGCCAAGATCAACATATAGCTGAACTAAAAAATATAAATTTTTTAATAATTAGTAAAAAAATCTGAAGATGAAAATATTTCATGATGAGTGCATCATTAAATATTCAAATTACATTTATTGTAAGCTTGTTGCTATAATTTCTAATGTTGATTAAACATAACATCAGAAACAAATGTACCATCAAAAGCGAATAAGAGAAATTGAAAAATCAAAATAGAATGCATTTGTATCAAAAATTCCAAGCTAAATTGGGAGCGTTTTATCTTATGCTTTATTATCTTCTTTTATTGAATGATACAAGTAAGTGAAATTCAATTCAAACTTTATATACCGTGTTATACTCTGATTTTTCATAGTTTTTATATCAGTGCTTTCCATAATAGAGCATATTATTTTTTTCCATAGATTGGTTTCAAAAATATAAAAAATGAATGTTTGCGTGACACTAGCAAATTGTTTTCTATATTTGGTGAAGGAAAGAATTTGAATAATACTCGTCGTAATTGGCAACAAGCGAACGCTATTTACGAAATAAATCTTTATCGGTAATATTAATTACATGAAAAACAATTGAGCAGTTGATCTTTATTGCATAAAGATATAATATACGTTATAGTGTGTGCCAAATATGTTGATAAACATAAGCAAGACTATTTCTTAATTATTAACTTTCGGCCAGCGATGTACAAAAAAAGGTCATGAGTAGGAATACTATCCTTTTGAACAGCCATTAATTTGTTGACTAGAATTTGTACAAAATCCAACGGACTATTGGAGCTGTTGTAAGAAAGAATATGGTTAGAATTATAACATAGTACAGACAAAGAACAATGAATGCTGCATATCGACACATCATTTGACAGATGTTAACTTGATTATTGCATGATAATGGAAACCCAAGCAGACCAACACCAAAGAGGAAGCCCACTAAACCACCACCGAAATGAGCTGAGTGTGCTACATTGATTCTTAAAATAATCGGTACAAGTATTGTGATAACGATAGGAAGCAAAACTAGCAAGAGTAAGTACATGAGAATTGAAATCCGACGATCGGTATTCGATTGCATTGCAATAAAACGATCAACAGTCAAGAATAACATTAGACCGTACACAGAACCAGAAGCTCCAATGCTGGCTAAACAAAAAAAGAAAGACAATCATAGGGTTTAGCAGTCAGTTTTCAATACTTGCTATTAATATACTGAAACATGCTGATGTATGATCTATTAAATTATTGAAAATATGTAGCAGATATAGAATAGAGAACTACTGAATAGATATTTTTCAATTCTTCGTAAACAGTCATGAACAAAATTTATAACTATTTGAGCGAATTTTACTAATTCTCTCTCACTTCTTCATTTTTATTCTAGATCAGTTTGGATTTATGTGCTTCAACTATTCCGAGTTTCAAAAGTGCACATTTATTTCATTTTTAGAACAAAATTCTAAAGTATAATAATTCTTGTCAATGGTTACTTACATCCTGATTTATTTCTTATCATAAAACTTAAACTAGAGCCTAGTTCTGAAAGCCAGTAAATAACAATTATAAGAACTGAACCATATTTGCGCTCCAATGGAATACCGTACAATAGTTGTTGTGATAGATTTGCAATTAGATGAACCCAATTTGTGTGGACCAAGTTACCGGTAACCAAACGCCACAACTGATGGGGATACATGAAATAAAGACATATCTTTCTGAGTACATCATCGTAATAACATGTTTGATTCCCGATTGTTAAATAACAACTGACGGTGCGCATGCGAATGTTATCAGGTGATGGTCGCATACATGGTACGAAAAATTGGAAAAGATCTATTAAATTTAACTGAAAATTTTGACCACTCCGGCTAATGTCGATGTATTTTGAGAGATGAATAGAAATATGTATAATGCATATGCTGATGATAAATATAGGACAATGATATTGTTGACTTGATGCATTATCAAGGTTAACGATACCCTGAAAACATAAGTATATATTGTTCTTTTTAGTAGAAGCTGATCTTTCGACTTGTATTGTTAAAGTTTTGTCCATTTCCAATGCAACATTATTTTGAATATTCATAATCTCGGTGAAAAAATACTACACAATCTTTTCCCTTTGCTGTGCCTTTTGACTGGGAATGATAAAAAATATGCATTTCTTTTCTTTCTGATGGTAGAACGGGAGGAAAGAGGAAGATAATATGATTGTTCTTGTATTTTGTGTCTTATGGTATGGTTACGTCAACGAGAAAATGTTGGTTAATATGTCTGTACTCTTTCTTGCGAAACAATGATTAAGCATGGCACGTTCTTTTCTTACAAACGTTATCTAAATATACACCGATATCGATATAGACTTATTTATATGTAACACATGAACCAATCAAATAAATGTAACAACTTCTATCAATTACTACCCATATATGTCCATGCGCTTATTTGTGCGCGTACTTATGTGTACTAGTTAGTCATAGTTTAGTTCGCGTTACGTGATTATGTCTTCATAATAGAGAACTTTGAACAATAGAAATAGTACAATTAAAGGTACATATATAACGATCTAACGTATACTGATGTATTTCCTTCTTTTTAAATTTCAAAATTATGTTTTATTTTTTTCAACTGTTTATTATTATTAAAAATTAGGAGAAGTATAGTTTTAATCGCTGAACAACGATATTTAATAAAAAACTTCTATGAATTAATATATTTTTTTGTTTTATCTTTTATTGTTTGATCTGAAAAATAATTTATTATTTATATGTATCGTAGGTTGTAATAGACGGAAGTAAAATTAGACTTTTTTTTTTGGTTAATTTATCACTTTTCTTCAGGCAAATTCTAACATTAGTAGACAGTATTTCAATTTTGCTTAATAATTCTTAAAACTTTTATTTTATGTGGTAATTATGTTGATATATTGATGATTTATTTAAAAAATTTAACAAAAATAATTTCATAGAAATTAACGTTCGATTTATTATTCTAATATTCATATTTTTATTTAAAATGCCATTTTATATAAATATTGACTGTTTTTTCTTGTTATTTTTAATTTCAAAGCAAAATGAGAATTTTAATTAAAACCTGTCTTTTTTTTGGAATTGCTACATTTTTATCAATTAATAAAAAGTTGAAGCAAACATGCTCATCTTTTTCCTTTACGAAATCTTCTAAAATACAAAAGGATACCGAAGGTCTCACATAGGGAAGGATATTCAATAAAATCAAGAGTGAAGCAATGAAGAAGCATAAAAAGAGTCCACGTCAATATGGGTTCGTGCACTTTTTCTGTTGGCGTCAAGTTTCGTGCGCATAGCCAAGCATCTTGAACGTGGATCTGGGTGTGAGGATGAGTATAGCATGTGATCAAACCCACACCCACCCAACGATGGGATTGCCCAGATTCTAAAAGAAAATGCATAAGTTTAATATTTGAATATTTTTTTTTCTGACTTCTTATTTTGTTAATTTTCTCTCAATACTAAATAGTCAATGTTTATTTAAGAATTAAATCTTATCATCTGCACGAAATACAATATATGGATAAAGTAAAATTAATTTAGAAGCATTGTGACAACGATACGAAAATCTTTCGTAGAATCAAAATTTCCGCAAACGCTGTTACCCATATAACCGGGGTGTGGGTGTGGGGTTTATCACATTCTATACTCACACCCATTCAGGGAAAAAATATTATGCGCCTTGATGGATCTAGATGTCGTTTATAAAATAATTCGAATAGAAATAAGATGTTGTTATGTACTCATTTTCTGATATCGAAATAGTTATTTACATATTTCTTTTTTCAAACGAATTCAAGCTTAAATTGATAATCGATGATAAAATGAATTTCATCATATATACCTATATAATACTTTCTGAAAAATTTTAAGTAGAGTCAATCATTTTATCTACTGAATCGATATTTAGAATCTTTTTTATCTTCAATTCTATATAGGATGGAGTTTTTTTGATAATGCTGCATCCTTCAAACTATTACAAGCAAAAAAACAATCGTATCAGATAAAGCAGAAATAAAATGCTTATAGTGAAAAAGTATTTTCTTCGGATTTTATTTCTAACTGTACTACAAAAATAAAAATAAAATGTCCACAGATTCATCGTGGAGATGATTCCTGAGTTTTAACAGATTAATGACAATAATGAACTATCCTAAAAACTATTAAATCAAATTGAATAAAAAATTTTGATCTTCGATTAGAAAAAGAGAATAACTCCTTTCGCCAATTCGAAAAACGTATTTTCAACATGCTTCAGAAACTGTCTTCCATTATAATGCTTGATTTATTTCACACGAAAATTCCTTTAAAGAACACCTAGCCATAGTAATCTTTTCAAATTTAACTTATGAATGACTCATAGAAGCTTAATTAAAAATGAAATTGAGAAAAGAATAATGAATGAAATCAAATTACAACAAAGCTGACTTATTTGAATCCATCAACGATTAGGTTTATAAGCTAATCTTTCTTTAATATATTTATTTCATATTAAGAGTCATTATTCCCTTGACTGAAGGGAGGGTCATATGAAATAAATTGCGTATGTCTGTTTGTAAGGTGTGGGTGTGCATTTATGTAAAACCAACACCCACACCCACACCTAGTTAGTCGACACTCACTCACACTTCAATCATTCTCGGCATTCGAAGCAATCTAAATATCAGCAAAAAACTTATACGTAAAAGTCTCTGAATAGGGAAGAAACAAAAAGGAAAAATATAGTAGTAATGCATCTATTTATTAAATACCAATACATTTTTTTATGTTTTTTATTTCACCCACACAAATTAAATATATGTATTACTTTAACATAAAACAATTTTTCACTTTATTTTCACATTATATCACATCGCTGATCTGATGGTTAAATTTATACTAAAATCTAAGTTCATTTGATTCACGAATAGTCTCTCCACTTTTATTTTCTCTCTCTCTTTCTACAGTATTAATCGTAGGATTCGGTTTAGCTGTTGCTTGTCGTTTTATTAAAACAATACATTTAACGATCATTTTAAATAGGACTTCACCAAATTCAATAACACCAAGTATACTCAAACCAAGCCATCTAAAATTATAATGAAATATATTGGAGTAATCGTTTGAAAAATAAAAGGACAACTCACAGTCCCGTTTGACCACCGATAGAGCTGAACAGATCAACTATCAATATTTTGGCCTTCTGATTGTAAACAATGACATAATAATTGCTATAAGTGATTGTTATTTTTAAAAGATTGTTATTGAGATACATGTCCGATTTAAGAGCAAAATCATCAGGTAACAGAATACTAGAAGAATTTGATTGATTACCTAATAGTCTTTTAGTTAACGATGCCTTCTGTTTCGGTGATGGATATGAAAGAGCACTCAATACAGTATTAAAATCAGTATTTTTGCACTCAGGAGTGCATTGTGGACACTAATTTTTGTAACCTACGTCTTGAAGTTTGAATGATGACAGAATAGTGAGCGCACATTTTTCTTCCGAAGTATCTGGAATGCAAATATTTGCTGCCTTAAGACTGTTGGTGTAGATAGACCAGACATTTCGTTGAAAAAAAGGAAATGGTAAAATACAGGAACAGAAAACATCAGTTATTAATTTTAAACAAGACTCTTGGCATAAATTTTCTGAATAAGTAACTTTGCCTATAGAATCCTTACCAAATGCTATCTCGTAAATGTCGCGTAATTCATCTCCAGCTGAAGATGTGCAATTCGTGTAAGGTTTAGGCAACAAATTTCTTCCAGTTTTTGAAAATAAGATCGTATGAGAGAGACCTGGTTGTAGTCGAAGCCCATTCTTAACAACCAATGAAAATTCATTATTTTCGTGTATTGATACGACTAAACCATCGTCAATGTACGACACTGGATAATAAGATTCACGTGGAATATAAAATTGCATTGATAAACCTTCTACTCCAACACTCAACGTACTCATATTTTGAATTGTGAACAAATTCTTCATTGTACCATTCCAATTAAATGTATAACAATTGCCGAATTGTGACGATAACGAATGAGTAAAGAATGATGAACAGTTAATACCATTGTAAGAACAATCAATTAATATATCTGATAATTGAAATCCAAGATCGATTAATTCATTTCTTTGATTACGATTGAAAAGATCAACAATAAGTGGTTCAACTAATGTTTCTAGATCGATCTGAGTCACATTGATTTCCATACGTTTAGCATAAGCCAATAGTGCTGCATTTGTTTTATCCTTTCTCAATGGATGAGCACTGCAAATAGTCACAGCTGGAAAAATCATTGTATATTCATTTCGAATCTCCATATCAATTTGTGTTGGATAAGACAAGTATTGTATTCCGGATGAAATAATAAAAAATAACATCCAACCAAGAGCAAACATAAAGCTACATATCCAAAGTATTCGATTTGATGTACTGTAAGCTTCAGCAATACATTTAAGTCCATGTGTTGTTGAAGAAGTAAGATAGCTGACAAAGATCGAACGATAACTTCGTTCGATAAATGAATATTGTTTTGCTTGATTTGCTGTTGTGTCCATTTAGTGAAATGATTTGGCTACGTCTATAATTATATGTTGTAATTGCTTGTTTATTCGTTTGTAGCAATAAAAAGAATAACATGTGAGAGAAAAAAAAACTCTGCGCAGTACAGGTGAAAGCGAGAAAAAGAGAAAAGAAAAGAATACAAAATCATTATATTTTATTATTTTTGGTGATTTTAGAAAGTCTTCATTAAAGATCTGTTATTTAGCAGGTTACATCAACGTGCACGCATAGTACTTAAAGAGATATATAAAATTTGCTATGTATCAGATAATTTAATTGAAAATGATTTTGTATATTTTTCAAGAGCTTGTTTTATATTTTACTATTTTCTCATGTTTTCCAAAAACTAAATTTATAAAGACATTTGTAGTATATTCGACAAATCTAAAAGACAAATTGTTACTTCGAAGTAGATTTTTGTGCTAACTCGTGACTTTTTATATTGGTCTGCTGATTCTCGAGCTTAAATGATAAATTACTAAAAGGTGAAAGTGTAATAATAAAGAAAAAAGTCTTCATAACATTTTATTATAGCGAAGTCAGAATACTGTGGATGTAGATTTCCAATTTGGATTCGACTAATGAGACTATTTATAGTTTAATCGAAACGAGAAATGTTATTATTTGAGAAGAAACGATGAAAAAAAACTCTGAATAAAAGAATATGAAAAAGATTGATTGAAATTTTTGCTCAAGAGTATTATAATTGAAGAATTTATTTTGTTATTTGAATAAATTACATAATTTATTTATTTAATCAAGAACACCTCTACATGAAGTGCATGCAAATTCTTGTTGACTATTTAGGTTCGTCTAGATAATAGTACGATTCATTGTGATGTTATATATTCATATCCAGTAATCGAAGCGTGTCCTTCTTGCTATTGAATTTTATAGTAAATGAAGCAGATGATCAATAAAGAAAAGATGTATTTAATTTAGTATATTGATGAGTGCTCAAATTTTATTTATTGATCTTTGATCGTAATTTCATTCTTTTTCCAGCGAATATCTTTATGACTATGAGAATGATATGTCTCGTATTTCATACATATCATTATACTGCTCTCTACAAGATAGAGGCGTAACCAGAATCTTTATATCAATAGACAAACTTCTCTTGTGTCGAAAAAAAAGCCGATGGGTGAAATGAACAAGATTTTTATTGATAGGCCAAAGTATTGAGATTAGACGGAATCCGAGTTTGGACGTCAACATATACATATATCTACACATATATGTTCGTGTATTCTCTCGATCTGTACTCGTGTTTCTCATCTCTTTGATCTATCCTTCTCTATCTTTATATGGTTAGTGTTTTCTCAATAAAACCAAACTCATGTTCACTCAAAATTACAGTTAAAATAAGGCTTACCAGATCTTCTGCAAAGTCAGGAAAGTTTCTGAAGTTTGAACGTTTTTAGATGATGACTTTACTAAAGAAATTAATAACAATTATAACTCGTTAGTATTATAGATCCGTATTATGCTTTCTTCTTTCCTCTCTTAATCTTTATTAGTTTTTGAGCTCTGCAGTCACTAACAAATTTCTTAATATATCAGTAAATTTTTACTTTGCCAAAATTAAGAATGAATACTCATTATATTTTTGAACGATTTTGTAAACAAATTTTAGCTCAAAAAAATTTGTTGAAGGAATTTTGAACAAAGAATAATGTTCTATAACTTTTATAATCTTTCATAAGATTTTTTTGATCGGTATAGTTTATATATATGCTCTGTTTGTGGATATTTTTTGTAAACAGAGTTTTAGGCCTCGTAAAATAAATCGACACCAGATTTCTTTTGCTAGTTTTTTTTTTGAATTAACAAAACAATGGAAGGTCATGCAACTTCAAACTAAGGAGATTGGTCATTATCAAATCAAATGAATGTTCTTACTCACAGACCAACTAGTTTAGAACATGATGTGGCGATAGCATACACAGACCGAGATGTTTAAGTTTCAAGATATTTACAGTTGATCTTCTACCTACATTATTAAATTTCATTAATCCTTAGTTTTTTTTTTTTCGTCATGGGTATATAGAACACGACTATTTACATAAGGAGAAACAATATCACACATATTCAAAAGCAATTTGACAATAATTAGAATTTTCTTTTTATTACTTTTATAATTAAAAATATGTTGTTTTAGATCTCGTAGCATTTGCCTTTTAGTATGCGTGATATTGTTTTCTCTTATGTAAATGATCGTACTCCATCCAACCATGACAAAGAAAGAAAACTAAGCGTTGATGAAGTTTTGTATTGTGGACACATAAAAACTATAAATTTCTTGAAACTCGAATATCTCACTCTGTGTATATTAATGGCAGTTCATATGTTTAATTAGTTGGTTTGATAGTGAGAGCATTCATTTGATCCGACTATGATCAATCTCCTTCGCTTCTATTACACGATCTTTTACTCTAATCTATATTATGTTTGTGTTGCCTTTCTTTACTATGAAATACTTTCGGAAATAAAGTACGAGTTGATAACAAAAAAAGTGAAGGATTGTATGGACGTATGTCAACATAATAGTCATCAGTTTGCATAAAATTACCCTTTCTGATTAGTCTTCGATTTCGGAAAAAAAACTTCTGATTTATTTCTGATTTTTAATTTTCCAGTTTGTTAACTCTAGTTAAAATATCAGAAGCGATTCTTTCCTTCTTCTTTTCTTAACTGTTGACAGAAATAACAAGCAAAATGTGCATGTATGATTCAGACGGAAGACAAAAAACAGAGTTGCTCTCTAATTGAAAAATCTAATATATAAGAGTGTGGGTGTAGGCGTGGGCAACGAAAAGGCACCCACACCCTTGAATATTAGAAAAAAAATGTGCTATAAAACGATCAAAAGCATACGGCAAAGTGTATAGATAAATTGCAACGACGTCTGGATCCCAATCACATTGAACAAACCAACGATGTTCTTCAAGCTAAAATCGACTTCGAAATGAATCAATAAAATCATCAACATGTTGTTGCAAATTTTTATCGTTCACAAGTTTTCTTGTTAATTGAAGTCGAAATCGTTTTAGTTTGATTAAATGATCACGAATAGTTTGTTCACATTGACGTCCATCAACAGAAATATCGTTAATTGTTTGAACTGCCAAAACGCATAAATTAGGCATATGTACTAAAATATTACTATCTCATTTTGTTCTACAGCAATCAGCCATATATCGAAATGAATTATCGACGAAACAGTTGACGGATAGGCTCTACTATCAGAATCGTGTATGAAATATGGGTGTGTGGGTGTGGGTGTGGGATATGGGTGTGGATGTGGGTGTGTGGGTGTGCATTTATGTAAAACCAACCCCTACACCCCACACCCACACCCAACTAACAACGATTCAAATGACAACAACTCCGATGATGATGTTGATTATCACACTCCATCGGCAAATACTGAAAACGACGACGACGAAAGCAACAATCATAAAAATAATCACAACTCGGACAATGATGCTGCTCCCCACACAACATCAACAACCACTTACAATGAGGACCACGATATTGACTAAGCTAAATATAAGCAATCATCCCATTTTGCATTAAACAATATCTCTACGCGATATTTAAACCAACTTTTTCATGTGAATCATTTTGTTACAGTTAAAAGTTTTCTACACTAAAATAAAATTTCTTTCTAACTTCAAATACACTGCATCATCTATTTTCCCTCAACTTCTCAACATGCTTTCTTACATACAATAATAAATTAATACCAACCAAAGACACCTTTACCAAACACTAAAACAGCAATGAAAAACAAGCTCTATTATTCACACTCAGTAATTGTGTTAAACAAATTAAAGAGAGATACTAAGCAAAAACAACCTGACAGATCCCTAAGTAAAGTCGAAACGCGTCACAGTGTGCTTCTTTTTGACTCACCACTACTAAAGAGTTATCTTTCGAATTCCACAATGGAATTTCAAAAGATTTATTGTCTCCATATGTAGATGTCTTATTTGTGATCTTCATGATCATTAGAATAGAGTCTATATATTCACAATTTAAACCGTCTGATGAGACCCTTAAGCAAGATCGAAACGCGTCACGGTGTTCTTCTTTTTGACTCATCCTCACCCTCAAGACAGAGTCATTTTTAAGTTCTATTCTATGAATTTGAAAAAATTTTCATATATGGTGGAGATGGTAAATTGGCATCTGTAGCACTATAAATAGATGCTTGTTTAAATGGACAGGGTGTTTCTCGCCAAAGATAACGAAGACTATAGAGTGGTTTTCCAAAACATGCACGGTCCAGTTTTAATGTTATTGTCAGTCCACTTTTACTTGATACAGTTGCTGGAACCCACAGAGCATCATTCGAACACTGAGTGTCGTGACAACAAACCTGAAAAACAAATATAAAATAATATAAATACAAAAAAATGTAAAGTAATAGACCTCAAATCCATTTGGATTACGTAGTTCAACACTTGATACAGCAGTATATGTGATGTTGACCGTTGTACCTTCAGTTAAATAATCAACTTTTTGTACAATTGGACCTTGAAATTCAACTTGTTGACCATAAGCAACTGCAAGACCAGAACGTGAAAGTCGATATCCTACATCAAGTTTAGTTCGAGGATGAATACTAAATGTATCAATAATTTTAGATAAAGAACAGAAAATCTCCACTTACCCATTAGGATCATCACGTAGATCCAAAGTGACAGCCATAAATACTTTTGGAACAATATTATTTGGGACATAACCGACATTAAATGTTTGTTGCCATCGAAGCATAGGAAATCCTCCAACGACTGCACTATTGTTTGTATTTGTTGATAACTATAAACATATTAATCAATTTCAATCGTCTATCTATATATAAAAATATAATTCTTAATGATTCCAAGCACAACTTACTTGAACAAAACCAAATGGAAAATGGATATCAGTTATACCATTTGTACGGTCATTCCATATTTGTCTCCAATATTGAATCATTTTTGCAAATTTACACGCATATGTAGGATTACCAGCATTTGCTTCACCTACATGAATAAAATCGAAGATATCCTTATAATTAGAGATGTAAGCCGACCAGTTGATTGGCGACGGCGGCTGGAAAGTTTGAAGCTGTCAAATTTTTTCGAAAATAAATACTTATTTATTTTAATATCGGAGTGCTGATATCTTCTTAAAAGTTACATGAAATAACTGCAGTTATTTCAAAAATACATGTATTTATAGCTTTACGTTATCTGTGCCTCGCAGAACACCTAGAAATGAACTCGAGATTAACAACGACAATGAGTTATGTATAATACAATCGTTAAGATATAGACGACGAAAAGGAAAAGTCTCTATAAATGACAAAATTTTAGATTTTCTTTGATAAATTATACTTATCATGAATCATCTTATACTTTCCAACGGTCTCTGGAGACAATATTGTTCTTTCAGCGTGAATAACTGAGTCTTCTCTTGAAAGTATTAATTCACTAGGAGTAGAACTAGTTGGCATTGATAGAACAATTTGAGCAAGACTTTCAAGTGAAGAAGCGCGTTACTTGATGATTGCCAAAATCGAAGTACATGATGCCAATTGGTACTTAGTTTCAAATAATTTTCAATCTCAGCGACAATTAGATTAGCACATGCTACCAAAACTGGTGCATGTTTTCGAATTAAATTTCCATGAAGTTTCTTTACATTTGGTACAAACACGCTTGGAAGTTTCACCGATAAATTACGTTTCATATGAGAAAAATGTTTTGATGTAACTGAGAGTTGCCGACGAAGGTGGTGATAATGTCGAGATTAGCCCTGTAACAGTTCTTAGTTCGAAGAACTAGTTCTTTTTAAAAACTGTATCCACTAACCAGTTCTTTTTCTGAGAACTGATCCAGTAACGACTCTGTTTTATATAAACTGAGCTTAGTTCTGTAAAAAGCTATGAAATTTTTGAGAATCGAGGTACAAATTGATTAGTTGATCGGCGGCGGTGGCTGGGAAATTTTTAAAACTTCCACTATCTCGGCGACGGTGGCTCAGGACCTTTTGCTTGTTGGCTGGCGGCGGCTGGGAAATTTTAAAAATTTTCCTTGCTCCGGCGGCGACGCCTCAGCTGCTCGGCTTACATCTCTACTTATAGTATATTAAAATTCTATTGTTTACCTTGATACCATATGGAACCATAGATAACAGTACGAGTAAATGGATAGATCATAGAATTAAATAAATTCGAATGATTAACTGGTATTGTTACAAAAAGTTCATTATACGCTTGTACTGCCACATTTTTACTTCTATAGAAATTCGAGAGGAAATAAATTAAATGAAAATCGAATAATATTCACAACTTACGTTGTAGCATTACAATCTTGTAATGCTTTCGGTGGCATCCAATATTCAATCGGTGTTCCACCCCAACTAGTAGCAATAAGACCAATGGGTCGACCACCTAATGCTTGATGAATCATACGACCATATAACCAACATACAGCTGACATATAATTCCAACATGGTCCACCAACACTTTGTGGTGATGCTACTGACCAATTTAAATTAATACCAAGTAATTCTTCAACAGGTGATGCTGATGGCAAAAGTGAAACAGTAAATAGTCGTATTTTAGGAAAGTTGCTTGCATGTTGAATTTCTTCTGTTGCATTGAACATCATGTTCACTGTGAACTGCATATTTGATTGACCTGAACACAGCCAAACATCACCAAATAGAATATTATGAATTGTAATTGTAACAAGTGTTCCATTAGCTAATGCTTGTGAAACATGAATATCAAATGGTCCTTCGTCTGAGACAGGATCAAGAGTGACTGACCATATACTTTCCCCTAGTTCATTTGCTGCTTCCAAACGACTGATGGTTGTATAAATTTTATTATTCATTCGAAGCGTAGTTAATTTTCCTGCATCTCCAAATCCCCACACGATAGCTCGTTGTGGAGCTCGTTGGAGCACCATATCATCTTGAATATAATTGGCAAAACGAGGTACACCATTACCTTAAATTATATCAACTTCTTCTGTTAATAAAGTTTTCAAATAGATGGATACTTACATTGGATAATGACAACTGAAAAAAGTAGCAAACCAACTCGGACAACACCCATCTTGACTTTGTGTGGTACGATTTTTTTTTACTATAAATATAGACAAAATTAAATTAAAGCTAGATATAACATACTTATATTTCAGGTGTGTGATCATGAGATAAATGTAATGATAACAATGTAAGATATATATTACCTTAGCTAAAGTGCTCTCGTTAGTTTTACACCGGTAAAACGGGTGTCTCTTATCAGATGAAAGACTAAAATGAAACAATATACAAAAAGACGCTTAGAGTGAGGGTGGGGATGAGTGAAGTTACCATAGTATTAACATTGCACCTCAGGAAGAAATAATTCTTGTTTAGCTTGTTAATTAACACAGTGGAATTAATTTAGTAGGTTGCACTGATGATTGTGAACAGGTTTTTGTTATTTGATGGATGATTGAATAGGCCGTGTTATTTTTCAAGTATTAGGTTCAAATAACTGAATGGGATGTAAGACTAGTTATTATCTAGAAACTATATAATATATGAATATATTCAATGGAATGTTTGATAATATAATCCATAGATGTCCATCGCGGTTGAGAATCTGCCGTGCCGCAGCCGCGATGATATTAATAATATAATCTATAAGAGCTTCTCTTCCACAAATAAGAAAATATGTATTATAAACTTTATATGAATTATTACGTCGAATAATTGTATGAGATAAAATGGGTATCAATGAGTTTAGCACAGCTGCAGCTGAGTTATAAATATGCAAGAGTAATCACAACAAATACAAGAACATGTGCTCTTAAATTATTTCGAAACAAAGTATATAAGCCAAATGAGATAGCCGCTTTCCATTTGCTCAATAGATATTTAAAATTAGAAAGAGCTGGGAATTATGGAAATTGAGAATTAACGATAGGTTACATAGTTGCAAAGTAGTGATATAGTATAGAATACCATATTTAGATCTAAGATATTATGATTCATTACTCATATGTGGATAAATACCAAGTTAATTCTTTATCTATCACTTGTGTAAAAGCAGGATCGACATTGTAATAAAAAGAAAACTGGTGCAGGTTTATTTAAATATTTATTATATTTCATAATTTTTTCATGTAAATTATAAATAAAGCTATTGTACAAAAACAACTAATCGCGTATTCGTTGAATCAGCTTGTTTTACATTTAATAGTACTCGTCGAGCACTTCTAATAATAAGCATATTATCGACTTGATCCAGTGATAATCTCTGTCTCCTATTATTTAATATCATCCCACTGTAACTAAAGAGTCTTTCAGTTCCTGATGACGTAGCAGGAATTGAAAAAAGTTTTCGAGCAAGACATTTCAAAATAGAAAATGTCAAAGATGCAAGTTCATTTGACCAAAAGTGAAGTGGATTTCCTTTCACTATCGATGATGATAAATCAACTCCTAAATATTGATCAAGTTCATCAGGTTTGAATGATTGATAATTCGTTCGATATAAAAATTCAGTTGAAAATGAAAAAGTAGATAATGAACGTCTAATACTGGTCTTATGAATAAGATCGATATCGTCGTGATCGACTTTAAAACTATTTTGATCAAATGATGGTTCTATTTGCTCTTAAATAAAAATAAGGGACAAGCATATTTGTGTGTCTGATTATACACTAATATCTATGGATTACCTTGATCTTCTTTTTTGAAGCTAAAGCGTTGTTTGTTGTTGGTGCATCAACAACATGAAGTTCATTATTTTGTAAATATTATTGTATGTTACCATAACAATTGTTTCGTATATGAGATGGAACATCATCTAATGGGATATATTATACGTACAATGATTACGAGCATACTTTCCGTGAAGCATATATGCAAGATTTCTTCCTTATTGATTCAATTTCAGCAATAAGTGCTGAAGTAGAGTGTCATTTTACTATTGCGAGACTTCCATTGACTCACAGAACTCATTTAGATCCAAAATAGTGGAATAATATAATATGTTTTGTTTTCTTACTATTTGGAAAATGAATAGTCAAATGTAAATGTTCTCCCCTGTTATTATTAATACTTTTTATGCCCTATATTTTCCTTGTTTATTTATGTCTTCGTTATATGATTGATCATAGGTTGTTTTTTCCATCATACTTCTATTTTTTTCTGATTATGTGAAACAGTGTTAATATAATCAAAAACATCTCAATAAATCAAGCCTTTCTTCTATGCACAATATTAATCATTATTTACCTTTTTGTTTTAATTTATCATTTTTTTGCAGGAACTTTTCTATCACCTTTATGAAAATAGATTCAATAAATTTTTGATAGAATAATACATTCATGTAAAGTTATATGTGGTGTGGAAGAAAAACAGAAACGTCAGTTGGTCTAGTTTGGTTCACAGGTAACTCTTTTACTTGTATAGGCTGGCTTGCAGGCAGCTCGAGTCCGGCAAGGTCAAAAACAAGTGGTCTGTTAGCAACTTTGGGGGTGAGTGTGGGTGTGGGTGTGAGGAAAATGTACACCCACACTTACACCCATCCATACCCACACCCACGCCCACACCCTTAACATTTTAATATAATCAAACAAGCGTTTGATTATGATTCTAATGTATGATTATTGTTAATGATTGAGTATACATGAAACTTAACTGTTGCATGGATATTTATACGTACATGGTGTTCTGAATTAGCTCGATTGCCAAATAAATGTATACCCAACAGAATTGGATACATTTTTTTATTGAAAAAATGTCACGAAAAATGACAATAATAATCAAAGATTGTTTTGTTAATTTTGATCTATTTATTTAATGTATTTATTCATCTTTGTTTCATTGTTATTATTTTGAATAGTTAACAAAGAGTTCATAAGAAGTATTTCATATATATTGTTTGATATTGATCGATTCGTATAAATATAAGCGCATTGAACCGATTAGATCTGATAATTTGGCAGTCAAATGAAATATTCTTTAGTATAAAATATGTCAGATATAAATATGTATTTAAAATCGAAGAATGATCAAAAACGGAGCAATTACGTTTATTTATTTATTTATTTATTTATTATAAGCACTATTATCAAAGATGTATATTTATGATCTGAAATCATAATACTGCATAGATTTCTGTCATTTTTTCTAAATATTTTTTTTTTGAAAATAGGATCATTACGGTTTACGATGGATTATCAATCGATATAAATATCAATCAAGTTGATATAGCAATCATATACTGTAGAAGGCTCTTTTAGAATTCATCCGGTAACTGATTGACTAATAAAATATGAAGAGGATAGGGCGATGATAGACTCATCTCATAAGTTCAAAACGATAGAGCTAATGAACAATTGAAAACGTTCTTTTAAGAAGAACTGATGTTTTTGAACAATGTTTTTTTGATAAGAAGCCATGCATCCAAAATTAACGCGATACCTATTATTTTTTGAGAGATTTCTTGGGCTAATACTGTAACTTTTTCAGGAGCATCTCAGGATAGTCACGATAAACTTTCAATAGCTAATAATGCATACTATCTAAGGGCGATGCTTCGAAATTTTTGAAGCTATCGCCTAATATTCTCTATAATTTTTTCAAGTCTATTACAGAGCTGAAAAACGATAGGTTGTGAGTGGGTGAAGCTCTCCAGGTCAGAAAAAAACGGGCCGTTTACGGCAGTAAACGAATAAAAAATGGTATCTTTACGGTAATCCGTAGATTTTTGTTTACGAACATCCGTTTACAGCACAGACACATATGAATTATGGAGCGTTTACGGAGCTGTTTACGGAGTATCGTTTATGATGCTATAATCGGGACCGTTTGTGCCCCGTTCTTAGACTATTTTTCAAAAATCTTTCACCAACATAGTTATACGCTTCCCAGGTCAAAATCATACAAAAATCTCACTGTAAGATTTCATATGTTTCTTACACTAAGATGCTACAATGAATCTTACATGATTCTTACTATAAGATTTTTGCAAAGTCGGATGATCGTAACCTTGCAAGATCGTATATGACCTGTAAGATTAAAATTTTATCTTTTCTTTTATGGAGTTTTTACAACTATTGTTTTTTTGCATGGAAATAAAACGGGAACTATATTTTAAAAAGGAACAATTTATTTTAAAAAAATTAATTTTTTAATTTAGATAGAATCGGAAAAATATTTTAAATTGTAAGTATTTGTTTATTTTAAAATAAATGACTTTTTATTTAGATAAAATGAGAAACTATAATTTAAAAAGTAAAATTCATTTTAACAAAAATTAATATTTTTTATTTATTTAGATAAAATCGAAAAAATATTTTAAAGTGTAAGCATGTATTTATTTTACAATTAATAGTTTTTTTTTACTAAGATAAATATAGCAACACATTAACGATTGAACTCGTTTCCAAATGAAAAAAACTTTTCGGGTGTTAATTGTGTAGCGGGAAGGGGGGGGGGGGAATATGGAAGATGAGAGACAGGGGAGAGTAGTGAATTCAACTGTAAACTGCATTCGAGACTTGATAACGATGAAGTACCTCAAGCAGTCTATATACGGTTAAAATGCGGTCCATATACGGTACGGATAAAATACGGACC